AGAATTATTCTCCAAGTACTTAGGTAACCAAAACTTCTAGAACGCCTAACACAGTAATGTCAAAATTTTCCAAAATTTCCTTATGACTAGGCAGTTTGACCTTTGTTGTTTATGTTTATGTTTATGTTTACTTAACGGTTTAAGATTATATTGCCATCTGATGGGCATCCAATAAGTTATTTTAGGATTCAGAGATGATAATCTGAAAATAGAGTGAAAAGCCAAAAATAATGTGAGAGTTACGGCGTTAGAGAGGAAGAGAGGTAAATCAATACACATTTTTTCAGCTTGCCAGGAGTGGAGGCAGTTGAGCCCCTGGAACAGACAAGGCAACATTTTGTCTAGAACTTGGAGTCTACTCTGAAGTTCAAAATATCTTTGACTTTTGCAGCCTTGCATACTTTTCTGGAAGAACGGAAAGGATAAAGGACAAACAATAACAACTGGAGCAACTTTGGTAACATATTTCATCAATGACCTGAGCATAATTTTCAGACAGTGGTCTGTCAGCCAGAAATATTTTAAATATGTCATTGTCTGTTGCAGACAAGACCAGGGGATGGTCTGATAACACACTTTGTAACTCAAGACAGTTGACCTATTGCTAAGAATATTTTTATGGGAAACATTATTTTTAGTGTGCAGCTTTCCCTCTTCTTCTTAAATAGGTATTACATTAGGAAAATCAAGAAAGCTTCTTTACCTTAATTGTTGCAAATAGGAATATAGATAAAAGATTCAGGTGAGAACAATTTATAATACAGTGCTGCAATCTAATAAGCTTGCTATATAACTTTTTCTGTGTGGAGAAATTTACAATACAAAGATGTTTTCTTACATTAAATGCAAAATTACCTTAGCTGGCTAAGTTATCCTTTCTACATAGCTATATTTTATAAGTTCAAAAGGGAAAAAGTGGTCTATAAGTCACTGGTCTTATTCTGTTTGGGTAAAACTTGCCAATCTCTGTCAGACAGCTGTCTTCTGTGTTTTCAATGAAAATTAAATTTCATAGGATTCTTGCCAGAATATTTTTTCCAGATTTGGTGGGTGCAGCAGAGTAAGTTTGGTAATAATAAAGCACAACAGTAGAGATGTCGTCTAATTGTCTGGAAAAAGACTCATTAGAAGGGTTTTTTTTAGGAAATGGAAATAAAATATAGATGAATTTAATAGAAGGGCCATTTGCTAATGTTAATTGGAAGAAATGGCCATTAATATATGTGAAATATTTATTGTTTATTTAAACGTTTATATAGCCACTCATCTTACTTCGAATTCTGGGCGGCTTCCAATCAGCCAGAATCTAGAAACACAAAAATTCTGAAATCAGGATCTGGGACTGACCACAGAGGGCCAGAACACAGTATAGGTCTTAAGCACCAGGAATACCTTCCCCAGGAATGGGCTGCCACTTGTCTCCCAACATCTTTTCCCATACCTGTGACCACATTCTTTTCTCCTGTCCTCTCCCGTCTTCCCCCCACCAGCCTCCCTTTGGTACCTCCTCCTTTTCCAATGTCGTGCAATAACATTCACCTGCAGACAAATGAGAGTAGAGACGAATAAACCTGATTAGAGGTGTTTCTTCCTAGCATTCACTGCCCCAGCACAGTCACCTAAGCCAATCACCTTCCTCACTTACTCCTTTCATCTCCCCCTGCCCAGCACTTTGTTCTCACCCAGATGATTAAGGAAAGCTTATCCCCATGAGCCTTGCAGGTAAAGCCCCCTCCCAATCTCTCATTTGAGAGTGGCAAAAAGGTCCTTTGCTCAAAAATCACTACACATGGTAAGTCTTAGCCATTCTTGATCTTTCCCAGCTGGGAACAGTGATATTGACCAGTTCAGTTGATTTGGGATCTGCAATTCATTGCAGACCATAGTCTAAGGTTCCAAATGAGAAAGCTGTAGGAGGCAAGCTGGCTTTAAATCACAACTGCCAACTTGCTCTTGCTTCCACTGTTGCTAATTACCTGACTAATAGGAATCTCCCCTCTCCTGACAAGGTGCCATTGCCCTAAACCTGCAGTCCTCCAGTCTAATAAGCCTCCACTTTCTCCCATCCCTCTGGTGGTCAAAGCTGTTCAGCAGGCTTTCCTGCCATATTGCTGCTCTTCCAGGAGCCAGCCCTGTGCCATCATCAACTGAATAAAAAAGTAGCTTGATCTGCGAAGCGCCAGTGTTGCTTTAGATTCCATGCAGCAGAGAAGGTGTCACCAGCTGCCATTCTGCATCTTTGCTGCGCAGGAGAGCCCAATAAGGCTATGCTGTTATCCAACAGCTCCACAATCTGCCTCCATTCTGGGCTTTGTCCCATTGCTGCTATTTTCCACACTCCAGGCTCTCCCAACTCCAGAGTTTTTCAACTCTCCAAACCATTCAAGACTCCATTGATGGTTCTCTGTTACTGTAGTCAGGGTCAACACTCAATTCACATAACCTCCATGACATACTATAATTTTCAAAACAGGTGAGAATATTACTCCTGCATCCATCTTATTGCCGTCTTAAAAAAAACCAAAAACCAGGATAGGGAGAGAGAGAGGACTAGCGATCGGATGTGGGGGGAGGAAGGATTGAATGAGAGAGTGGTAGCCAGCAAGGGAGTGGAGCAGATGAAATGGGAAGGATGGTGGGGAGGTGGTGGGGGATTGGATACGGTAGTTGAAAGTGGGGGGAGTGAACGACATGAGCACAGGCACGGAGGGGATGGGCCCCCAATGCCCTCAGGGACCCCCCGTTGGAGGAAAGGTAGGGGGGAGGTGAGTGGGTACGGGAGAGAGAGCACCCCCGCAACGCTGGTGACCG